TCAGACATTTACTAGCCAGGTGACCCTGGGCAAGTCATTTAATCCTGTTTGCCTCAGTTTCCTCATCTCTAAAATGAACTGGAGAAGGAAATAAACTACTACAGTATCTTTGCCAAGAAATCTTCAAATGGGGTCGGGAAGAGTTGACATGACTGAAACATCAACAAACATGCTATAGGGGATATAAAGATAAATAGGACCTGATGCCTGCCCTCCCTGTCACATGGAATTCCATGTTTTACGTTGCTACTTCAAGACCAACTCACCATCATTCACCAGTCTCTTTTCCTTTGGAGTCTACATCATTCATTTACATACTAGCTCCTTTTCATCCTTGTTACTGTCATTTATACCTTTCAGAGTACTTTCCTACCTTCCTCCAGAACTTTAACATCTGCTGACTAGTCTTCCCCATCTCCTCCCTGACATTCTTATCAGTGACTTCAGCATCCATGTGGATGACCCTTCTAATGCCTTGGCCTCAACCTCCTCATCTCTGGTGACCGTCACACCAGCCTCCTAGCACAGGAGACCTCATAATCACCACTCAGTTTCTCCAGTCCCAATACCATACTTTTTTTTTTTTTTAGTGAGGGCAATTGGAGTTAAGTGACTTGCCCAGAGTCACACAGCTAGGAAGTATTATGTGTCTGAGGTCAGATTTGAACTCAGGTCTTCCTAATTCCAGTGCCAGTGCTCTATCCACTGTGCCACCTAGCTGCCCTCCAATATCACACTTCTGCTCAGTGCCAGAGAAAGTGAGGGAAGGCATGTTGTTTGATTAGATCTGCTGCTTCATGTTCTTTGACTTCATTTAGTTTCCCACCGGGGCAAGTAGAAAGTCATTTCTTATTGACTTCCTATCATATTTCCTATTGGTGCTACTTAAAATTTTTCCCACTCTTCTTCAAACTCCATATTCTTCTCTTTCTTCAATTCAATCCAATAAGAATTGATGAAATACCTATATGTCTTCTAGGGAATGGGATAGACCCTGAGGATACAAAGATAAGAACGAAACAGCCCCCACTCTCAGGGAGCTTACTTTCTGCTAGAGAGAGGTGAGACATAATAACCCAGATGCAGATAAGTGAATATAAAACATTTAAAAAATATAAAGTAATTTTTTGAGAGAAAGGGGTACACAAAGAACTAGAGAAATCAATAAAGGCCTCTATAAGAAAAGGGACTTGAGCTAATGGTTCTAAGAGGCCAAACTGAAAAAGGAGAGCATGGGACACACCCAATGCCAAGGCAGAGTAAAGGGAGATGGAACATTAATAGCAAAGAGGCCAGTTTGATGGAAACATAAGAAGAGGGCAGTAATACATAATTTGCCTGGAAAGACAGATCTAAGCCAGGCTGTGAAGGAAGAAGTGGAGGCTATGAACTGGGGTTTATATTTTTGCCTAGATGCAATTGTGCTTGTCCTTTGTTCTGGAAGAGGGCTGTGACATCAGGGAGACGATGACATGACTTGCAATTGACTTTGATTTGAGTGAGAGAGGGCTGTGCAAAATCCCCAGCCTCACTTTCTCCTCCAGGGCCATCTGGGTCCAGTGGCCATAGATCAGGACAACTGGAGCTGGCCTTGCATGCAGGGCCATTCCACCCTGGCCTTTGTCAGCTAAGGTCTTCTCAAGTTCTCACTTTGAGGTGACACCCATTCAGTGAATAGGCCTCTTTAAAGAGTGAGTCAAAGGATAGCCCTTTTAATAATAAAAAAAAGAAAAAGAAAAAGAAAAGAAAGAAATCAAACTGGGAGGGGGAGATCATCTGGGTTGCTCACCAAAAGAGAAACAGTTTCTATTTACATTCATTCTGAGCAAGGAGGACCCAAAAAAATAACCATTAAGAAGCACTTGGGCCGGGACCTGTTGTCCAATCTATGAGCTCCAGAGTGAATTGGGTTTAAGGCTTGGTCTTTGAGAGGTTGTTGCTAAGCAAAAAGAGAGGCTGGTGACTTTGCACAGCCCTCCCTCACTCAAATCAAAGTCAATTGTAAGTCATGTCATCGTCTTCCTGATGTCATGGTCCTTTTTCAGGAACGAAGGACAAACACAACAACCTAGATGCAATAGGGAGCCACTGAAACCTCTTTAGCTGGGGAACAACATTGTCAGACCTGAACTTTAGGAATATAAATTTGATAGCTGTACGAACTTAGGGAAGAGAGTTTAGAGGCAGGGAGGGCAATTGAAAGACTGTTGTAATAATACAGATTGAGAAGAGCTAAGGGCTTGAACCAGGGTGGTTGTGGTGTCAAGTATAGAAAAGCAGACAAATGTGAGAAATGTAGCAGAATCAGTATGATTTAGCAACAGATTAGATATGAGGGAGGGGAGGTTACACAAGGAGTCAGGCAGGTTCAGGGAGAAAGAGAATAAACTGTATTTTGGACATGTTGAGTTTGAGATGCTCATGAGATCTCATCGTGAATATGTCCAGTAAGAGTATGAGATGTGAGACTGGAGGTCAGAAGAAAGATGAAGCCTGGATATGTAGATGTGGGAGTAAATGGCATAGAGATGAACACATGTGAGTTGATAGGATCAGGTAGAGGAAGAATGTAGAGAAAGAAGAGTAGAAACTTTGGGACAGAGCCGAGCAGTGTATTCACATCTAGGGGGTTGGACATGGATGGTGATTCCGCAAAGGGGACAGAGAGGGATTGGTCTGAGAAGTGGGAGGAGAGTGTATCTAGAAAGAGGAGCTGGGCAGGATTACAGGCAGCAAGGAAGCAGCAGTCAGTGGATAAAATTGCAGGTCTCCTTTATAAACAGATTGTTTTCACCATTTTCACAGTCTAGCAGAAGAGACAGGAATATATTAAATAGATGTAAAATATATACAATGAGCCAAGTGTGAATGACTATGAGGATTCAGTAGTGAATATATACATGTGAGAAAAGGGAATTTTATTTGCTTTTTTGAAAGGTGAATATTATTGAATGGACCTTTTTCCCATCAAACTAAGGAAACAAATTTTAACTAAAGAAATTTAATTTAAAAAATTAGTGACTAGACTTTGTTTTAAAATATAAACTGTTAAAACAAGACATCAAACAAGACTTTTTTGGAGATATCATGGTGTGCCTGAGCACAAATCCTACATCTACATAGAAAGACATCTACAAAAATGAGATTGACCGTGTCCTGAAGGAAGCGCGTTGCTGTTGTTCAGCTGTTCAGTCATGTCTGACTCATCGGGACCCCATGAACCATAGCACACCAGGCCTCTCTGTCCCCTACTACCTCTTAAAGTCTGTCCAAGTTCATGTTCGTTGTTTCCATGACACTATCTATCCGTCTCGTCCTCTGCCATCCCCTTTTCCTTTTGCCTTCTATCTTTCTCAGTGTATAATATTCTAATAAGTGAAACACACACACACACACACACACACACACACACACACACACACACACACACACACGCACACAGAAGTGGTGCCCTGGGAGGGATGTTTTGGTTTGAAAAGGAGAATAGATCTACCCACCACTTCCAGTAGCAGTAGGGATATTGACTTGATTGTGATTCTAGGGCTAAAAAAAATCCAGGGCAAAAGAGGGAGAGGAGATAAGCAGACTGCAGCTTGGATGTCCAGAAGCATGGAATACTTCAAATATGAGCTGGAACCAGCTTAGATGTAGAGAGAGACACTCACCAACTAGGGCAGCACAAGCTGAAAGGATTAAGTCATTCAGATCATGGTCTAAATCCCTATCACCTACAGATGATAGAGCTGCGGTGCAATGGTCAGGGCTGTCAGATGTGATGGGGTCACAGGAAGTCCTTTGATAATAAATTAATGACACTTATATAATACTTTAGCTCTCTCTTTAGGGTTATAGGAGTAATAGAGCCTTCACCCTAAGTACCCCAACAAACTGTTGAAATGAGATATTCAGGCTTAGACAACCTTAGTGTAGAGAGAGTGGTTTTATGATAGGAAAGTGTTCAGGGACTCAGGGGCCCCTGTGGATCTCTGTCTTGGCCCCAGAAAAAGTGAAGGAAAAGGAAAATGTTTCTCTACACACCACTGGGCTAATAGCCTACTACCGAACTCATTGTTTCCTATTTAGAGAAATCAAGCTGTCAGTGGGAGGGAGTCAGATAGATTTTCTCAGTAAACAGCTGTTCAATAAATGTTGTTGGTTGACTAATTACAAAATTTACCAGCTTCCATATTCCAATCCCTAGAAAACACATATACCTTTCATGCTTCCCTTCTGCCTTCTTCCCTCTTCCCCATTCTCTCCTGCCCCCAGTGTGAAAACTTTGGGGGTAACATGAGGACCATAAAGTACAATTTATGGAACTGGAAAAAGAATAGTTGAGTTCAAAATCCAGGATCTGAACACTTACTAGCTCACTGATTTTGGCAGTCACCGGACCTCTCTGGGCCTCAGTTTCTTCATCTATAAAATAAGAGCTTTGGACTAGATTAGAGATTCTTAACTTTTTTGACTTCTACAAAATTGTTAGCTGAATTTATAATCAAAGGAAATGATAAATTTCAGCTGGAGGTTAGTGAAAATAAAGATGTAATTTTTTTTTCTCATCCAAGTTCAAGTACCTCTGAAATCTTTCCACAAACCCCTTAGATAAGGATAAGAACCCCTGGGGGCCAAATGATTCTTGCATTCCTTTCCAGTTGTAACATTCCATGATTCTGAGAATAGGGGAATCACCTCTATTCATGTAAATATGAGCAGAGAGACACTTCCCACTTACTTCCTGTCTTTCCTTGGAACATTGGTAGTCTTTTTTTTTTTCTTTTGCGAGGCAATTAGTGTTAAGTGACTTGTCCAGGGTCGCGAAGTTAGTAAGTGTTCAGTGTCTGAGGCTGGGTTTGAACTCAGGTTCTTCTGACTCCAGGGCTAGTGCTCTATGCCTGTGCCACCTAGCTGCCCTGCACAATCCTCTCCCCCCCCTTTTTTTTGTGAGAGATTGGTAGTCTCTTGACAGGCCTTCCATAAGAAACTTATGTCTTTTCCAGGTACTCTAAGATCCAAGAGGAGCTGGAAGATCTGGATCGCATCACAGAACAGACGCTTTTTAACCTTTACAAGTACAACTCATCACATAGCTCCTCCAACAAGGCTCGGGTCCGACGCGAGCTCCTGAACACCCTACCCTATCCTTTAGTTAAGATTCAGGACCCCCACCCCTTCCACCATCACCGAGCCTCTGGTGTCCAAGAGAACAACCCTCAAGTGGATAAGAACGACTGGAAGATTGGCTTTATCTTGGTAAGACCCTGCTCAGACTCTTGTCTTCATCTCCTCCTCTGGCTACACCCATTTCCAGGTCCATTTGCCCCTTCTACCCCCCAACTCCCTATTCCAATCTCTTTCCTTGGTGAGGTCCAATCTCCTGGTCCTACCCAGTCACTCATTTTTTAATTTATCTAATAAAGGTTGATTGAGCATATATTATATGAAAGACATTGTACTGAATGCTGCAGGATATACAAAAATGAATATAAAACTCAGGACCCTTACCGTATCAGAGCATTTGAAGGACATTGAACCATTTGGGGATTGAAGTGTTCCTTAGATCATGACCAAATGACCTAAGACACATGAGCTTATACAAGGCAGAATATAATTTGTATTCCTAAGAGGAATGCAAGATGCATACACAAATAACTTACAGAACATAATTTGTCCCATTAGAGAAATAAAAAGACAGTTGAGCTGTCCCTTGAAGAACGAATAGGCTTTCCCAGCCCACTGTTATTGGTGGGATTGTAACGAGGTATGGTGGTCAGGACTTTGTTTCCGGGTGCTAGAATTTAGAGAGTGCTGACAGAATTTGTAGTCCTTTGGCAATGTAGGAATGGACAACTAAGCATTTTGTTAGCAAGAATTATTAGTTAATAGGAGCCATAGGAGCTTCCTACAACTTAGGTGAGCTTGCATCCAGCTCCATCCCAAGTCTTCCTACTTTTGGATGGCCTTCTCAGCAGAGGCTTCCCAGTGTGCCAGGGTCTTTCTCCCCAAGATAGCTACAACCAAGGTAAGCTCCTCCTAGTCCCATCCCCATCTGCTTCCCAGCAGCAGCCTTGGGCTCCTCCCAGCTCCTCCACTCCATACAGTTCATGCTGCTTGCTCTAGTTGCAAAAATGACCACTTAGGATTCTGCTTCTTGGTACTGCTTCCGCCTTAATTGCTCACACTTGCATCTCCTATCTACTCCTTTGGTTTCATCTACTCTAAGTTTAGTTTCAAATGTTTTTAGTCTGGTGACGGGATCTTTCTCTCCTTCTTTTCTCTCTTCTCTCTGCTCTCCTGGCTTCCTGACCTCCTCAATCAACACCATAGTCTACCAGATGCTAGGGTCTCCTCCCTGACCCTTCTACCCCACCAACTGCTGGTTAAAAAACAAAATCCGTGCTGCCTTTTCCTGTGTGAATAACTGGTGGTGTAGTTACAGCTTGTAAAATATTCATTTGGCTCTTTGAGTTATGGGTTTAAATCTGCTTTGGAAAATCACCTTATAAAGAAACAATGGACTTGAATGTAGGGGTTCTTCAGCTTTTGGGTGTCATGAGTCTCTGGCGTTCGGTCTGGTAAAGCCTCCAGACTGTCTTTCTCAGAATTATGTTTTTAATTTCATTAACTAAATACATAGGATTAAAAGGAAACCAATTATATTGAAATAAAGATGTGATTCTTTTCCTATCAAAGCTCACAGACCTTCTGAAACCACTTTGGTGTGGTTTTGGGCCCAGCCCAAGTCCAAGGTGGTGGACCTTTCTAGAGAACTATACACCAGGGGCAGCCATTTTCTCTGCCCTGGACACCTGAAGTCAGGTTCAGGAAGGGGACAAAGCAACAAACCTATGAGAAAGGGTAGAAAGAGAAGAATAAGAGGAAAAGAAAGAAAAAAGTACACAAAGGAGAGAGTGATAGTCACCACCATCAGTGACTTTGGGAAGTACCAGTGACCACACATTTCAGGCATTTGGTCTAGAGGAAATCGCTCCAAACTGAGCTCTATTCTTGACTTTGACAGCATTTCACTATGACTTTGAACAAATGGCAGTAGCTATGTAGAACAGTGTTTAGAGGACTGGACATAGAGTTAGGAAGATCTGAGTTCAAACCCTCAGATACTTAACTAACTATGAGAAGCTTGGTTAGTCAGATAACCTTTGTTTACCTCAGTTTTCTCACTGTAAAGTGGGGAATTATAATAGCACCTACCTCCCAGAGTGATTGTGAGGATCAAGTAAGATATTTGTAAAGCACTTTGCAAACCTCAAAGTGTTATACGAATGCTTATTATTAACGATAGCAACAACAACCTCTTGGGACCTTCCTGATTTATAAGTAGGAAAAAGAACCCATTTCTTCTTTGCCCCACTTAATTAGAATATCGTGAAATAAAAGTGATCTAATAAATGAGAAAGAACTTTGAATAATAAAAAAGGGTTATACCAATTAAATATAATAAGTAGTAACTATTATTATTTCCTTTCACCTATACTCTAACCAGGGGTGGGGAACCTTCAGCCTCGAGGCCACATGTAGCCCTCTAGGTCCTCAAGTTTGGCCCTTTGACTGAATCCAAACCTCATAGAACAAATCCCCTTAATAAAAGGATTTGTTCTGTAAAACTTGGACTTGGTCGAAAGGCCCCACCGAGGACCACTGTGGCCTCGAGGCTGCAGGTTCCCCACCCCTGCAGACTTTCCTTAGCCCCATTGTTCCTATGAAATGCTCTCTTTCACTGCCACCTAAGCTGATCTACTAATTCTCTTCCCCATTTTCTGGCTCAGAGCTTCTCCCACGGGCTTCTCTTTCTGTTCCCTCTTCCTTCTCTCCCCACCGCCGGTTACCCGATCTCTTTAATTAGCATTCTGGTGTCTCAGACCCAAGGACTTCCTACCTGGTCCCTGAGTGCACCCGCCTTTTTTTCTTTTTCTACCTCTCTTCTGCCCTTCTTCTAACCCTTCTCTGGTACCTGTGTCTCAGTGTAACAAGAACAAATCAGACTGCTTCTACCAGACCTATTCTTCAGGGGTGGATGCTGTCCGAGAGTGGTATCGCTTTCATTTTATCAACATCCTAGCTCGTCTGGACTCCCAAGATCTGAATGAGGCTGCATTGGGTAATTTCATCTTTGCCTGTCGCTTCAACCAGGCCTCCTGCAACGAAGGGTGAGTTCCTGTCCACTTCCACTTTGACCCTCTTCCTTTTTCCCTGGGGCTGACTTTTTTTCCCCTTGAGTACTCCCCATTCACTCCCAGGTGCCATGATAACTTGCTGCTTCCCCAACCTTTGTAGATTTAGAGCAATAGGGCCTAAGCTTGCACCCTTGCTTTTCTTCTTACTAAATGGATGACCTTAAGCAGTCTCATTACTATCTGCATAAAAATCCCTTTTAACTCTGAATCCTATGATTGTGTCTGAGCACTGGGTTGTGTGATGGTGATTGTAATCTGTAGGGAATTGGGGTTGGAGCTGGAGTTCTATATTTGATGAGCTTAAGGCTTTCTCTGCCAGAAATGTGGACTTCTCTCTCTTTGCCTGTCCATCTGTTTAGCTCCTAAGTTGATCTTATTTCCTGATTCTACATAGATCCCAGAGAGGTTCTAGCAGCTACTTAATTTCTGAGGGGGTTTAAAAAGGGAAAGTTTGTGGGCAAAAAGTTATGGGTGGGTGGGAGACCTGCTCTGTATCTTGTTCCCTGCCCCCAACTACCCCTTCTCCTCCCCTCTGTGTCCTCTTAAGTTGCATTAAGAACAGTATAAGGTTTAGAATGGGGGAGGTGGCTAGCATTGTTGTAAATTGGTCCTGATCATTGGTCCTGGTCAGACCAGACCGTATCCATAGTGTTATGTTAGCTTTGGGAGTTGGGGGTGGGGTTACAGATGAGCCCGAATATGTCCAGAGGAAGATGGCCGTGCTGTATAAATTGAGGGAAATGGGACTGGTGAGGAGAAGGCATTTTTTTTGAGGGGTGTCAATTGATTTCTGCACATACTTTAAACACTATCAAAGGGCTAGTGTGGAAGAAGGGTTAGACATTCTGCAAAGATTCATCGGGCTGAGCTAGGACTAGTGGGTGGAAGTTTCAGAGAGGTAGATTTTGGCTCCATGTAAGGAAGAACTTCCTAACAGTTATAGCTGTCCCCAAATGGTGTGACCTCCTTGGGATGTGGTGTGTTCCTGCTCACTGGAGGGGCTCAGAAAGAAGTAGACCAAGCCGCAGTCTGGCATCTGGTGCAACAAATTCCTCAGAGCCTGAGAGTACAAATGAACAATCCTTTTATTAAAAACCATTCCATGTATATGTACAGCCTATATCAGATTGCACGCCATATTGGGGAGGGAGGCAAAGAGGAAGGGCGAGAAAATTTAAAACTCAAAAGCTTATGGAAGTGAATGCTGAAAACTAAAATTAATTAATTAATTTTTAAAAAAGGGAAAAAAAATTCCAGTATTCCAGGGTAAAAATAGTTTTCAAGGCAGTTAAAAGCAGTTCAGGAAATAAAAGCAATAGGCAAGGAGCTTTAGAGCAATCTCCAAGAAATGTTCCCCAAATGGTGGTCTCAGCTCCTACCAAAGTTCTAAAAAATCACTTTTTATTATTTTTGCTCCAGCGGCCCAGAGCTAGATCTCAGATCAGTCCACCTGGGGGAAAGGTAGCTCACTCTACTCCAGGTTTGAACCATAGTTTCTTTGCTCGCAATAGTGTAGGCTAGGGATGTTGTGTGTGTGTGTGTGTGTGTGTGTGTGTGTCTAAGATTGCTGTTTAGTTCAGACTTCTTTAACTCTGCCAGTATTCTGGTCTACAACAGAAGTCATTCTTGCAAGGAATGTTATAGGTAGGGGATATACTAGATAATCTCTGAGGTCCTTTCCAACTCTTAAGCTTCTATGATCTGCTCATACTAATTCAACCTTCTCCTAAATCTTCTTCAATAGAGGGGTCCTCACATGATCACTTTCACCCTCTCCAAATCCCTAGGACGAGCTCTTCTAAGGTAGCATCTGGCATATATCATACTGGGTAGCTAAGCCTTGCAAGAAAGCAGCAAGGCTCTGGCCTCCTAGTTGTCCTGTGACACCTTTTCTTCCCATTTCCCCCACTTTTCCAAACCATGTTTTCTTTTCTAGCTTTAAGCTGGTGTTTGTTTAAGGACAGATCTTGCCACCTGGGAGGGTGTGGCATTCAGAGCACCTGGGACTTGATCAGCCCATACTTCCCTGATCCCTCAGCTTTTCTCTGACTTTCCCCAGTCTCTAATCCTCCTCTCATCTCCTGAACTTGAATAGTTCTGAAGCTCTTTCTTCTTACCCTTCTTCCTCCCATCATGGACTCTTTCCTTCCTAATAGTTCATAGTTTATCTATAACTTAACATTTAGGATCTGATCTTTGGGAGAGCCTGGGAGGAAGGGTGTGGAAGAGATGAGTTCACCCTAGGATGATGCTAAAATTAGAAGTCAGAGAGAATTCAGAGATTAAGTAGTCCAATTTTCTCATGTTAACAGATGAGGAAATTTAGGTCTGGAGGAGATAAAGCATTTGTCCAAGGCCACATAGCTAGTTAGTGGTAGAATCAGTATTCAGAACTCAGGTCTACTGATTCCCAGCCTAGAGTTATTTCCAACACACAATCCTGCCTTCCTGCTCCCAGTCTATAAATCATTGACATATAGGTATACTGACTCCTGCAGCCTTGGTCTGTGTAGGATTTCCCTCATCCCTATCAACTCTCTACAACCAGACTTGGTGGTGGTGGTGGTGGTGGTGGGGATGGTTTTTCCAGTTAGAGAAACATTATTGATGACAATGATACTTTGGATTGTTGTGGAACAACAGAGCTCCAAGGGTCCTTATTGAGAGGGGATGGTCAGGGGCCTTTTAGTCAATGGTCCCCTCCCCACCATGCTTAATCTCTCTTTTACCAACCCTTTTCTTTTCCTTGAGGAGACTCTCTCTTCCTGCTCTTTCCTGAATCTCTCTCATTCAAAAACTGGTTTGGGAGCAGGAACTATGTGCAGAGGCTGTGCTGGGTGCCTTCTCTCAGAGAATTTATAATCTGATGGAGTATATAATACTGCCTGCTTGTAAAGTTAACTAACAAGGAGAAAGTTTTTAGTTGCTGGAAATGATTTTTTTCCCCCAAATGCCACTTTGTGTCTTTCATTGGCACTTATGTTCTAAAATATACTTATTCCATATCTTCACTCCAGCTAGATTGTAAACTCCGGGAGGGTTGGGATCATGTCTTGTTCCTTTGTTTTGCTGTTGCTTAGCAGAGTGAATCAACCCAATTGTTTGTTCAATTGAATTGACTGTGAGTTGTCAAATACCAAGTTGTCAAGTACCAGACAGTAGGTACTACAGGAGTCCAGAGGAGACTGGACTCAGCCCAATTCCCATTTCCTTTCCCTGGCTCCCCTCTTCCTCCTCTAACCCTGTTCTCTTCCACTGCTAAGGAATTATTCCCAGTTTCATCACCCCATCTATGGAAACTGTTACACCTTCAATGGCAAGAATGACTCCAACCTCTGGATGTCTTCTACACCTGGAATCAATAACGGTAAGAGACTCTTCCCTAGGCCTTCTCTCCATTCTTCTATTCAGCTACTCCTATTCCTCACATCTTCTCCTGTTTTCCCCAGTCCATATGCCAGGTTTCCTCAGCTGGATTTCCTTTTCCCTTAGTTGCAGTTCCATAGCAAGTCCAGTCCATTCCAGAAGGGTGCCATCTTGGATTTTTCCCTCTTTCCTTTGAGTTATATGCCAATATTCATCACAAAACTGATAAAATCTGGTTCTAATTGTTCTTACTGATTGGTATTATTGCCTGAGTGTCTGTGGCAATGGTTCACAAATCCTGTGAACCTCCTGATCCCAGTTCTTCCTGACCTTATTCTCTTAAATTCTGGGAAGCTGGAAAAGATTGGAATGAGGCAGGGATGACTTCCTTCCCCTTAGTCATTCTCCTTTTCTTAAATTCCTTCTTGCCTTGCCAACCCTTCAAGGTCTGTCCCTGACACTACGAACAGAAAGAAACGACTTCATTCCACTGCTGTCCACAGTGACAGGGGCCAGGGTGATGGTGCATGGGCAAGATGAACCAGCATTCATGGATGATGGTGGCTTCAATATTCGACCAGGAGTGGAGACATCTATCAGCATGAGAAAGGCATGGGCACTATGTCTAGAGACTTGGGTGTGGGATGGGAGGAATATAGAAAGAAGAGGGAGGAAGGTTCTCAGAGATACGAAGGGCATAGTTGGTAGCAAGATGGCTGAGAAGGAACTCAGCAATAACTCTTGGTGCTGGAGCACAGAGGGGAGGGGGAAGAATTGTGTCTCCTCAATGACAAATTACGAGTAAGTTGGCGTGTAGGATTCCTATAGAATGAGTATATGGAATGTGGGGTCTACTAGGAGTTGGGGATCCTGAGGAGCAGGCATCAGGGACATGGTTATCCTAGGGATTAGGGACTGGCATTAAGGGGCATTCTGATGATCAGATGCAAATGGTGTAACTATTGGTGCTTGGAGACTGGGAGGGAAGAAAGGCTCTGGAGGACCTGAGAAGTATAGGGAGCTGGATATTGGGAAGGCCACTGAAAAACATGAGAATTTGTTAGTTATCACGGGATTGTGGGGGCTGGTAGATTTAAGTGTGAGCCCTGAGGATCCAGCCAGGGAGAATTGAGCACTGGGGTAGGGGAAAGGCTAATTGTTTTGACTTAGACCTTTCTGGGTTTGGGTGGGGTGGACAGGAAACCCTGGACCGACTTGGCGGTGACTATGGGGATTGTACCAACAATGGCAGCAGCGACGTCAAAGTCAAGAACTTCTATTCTTCCAAGTATACACAGCAGGTGAGGTCCCAGTTTGATGATTCCCCTCACCTATCCTCCTCACATCTTCCAGGTCAGTTCAAGACTCAGTAGCCAGAGCTACCCTCCCCTTCCCCAGATTATGATGAAGTGTGGGGGGGTACATGGTGCGGAGGACTGTTTGCCCTTTCCTTCCTCTCCTCTTCTCCTTGGAGTATCCTAGTGGGGTTATCACTAGGGGAGGGTTGTAGTCCACAGTCTGAGCTCCTCTCCCTCTGCACTCCCTTTCTCCCCAAGGTGTGTGTCCACTCCTGCTTCCAGGAAAACATGATCCGGAAGTGTGGGTGTGCATACATGTCCTACCCAAAGCCCGATGAAGTGGAGTTTTGTGACTATAAGAAGCACACAGACTGGGGTGAGCCACTTGTCCACTTTCTGGCTTTAGCACAGGGCTCCCATAGGGATATCTTCCCTTGGCACCCCCTCCATTCCCTTTTGCCTCTCCCTGTTCCTTGACATCTTGTCCCTCCCCTTTGGTCCCCTGTCTCTCACTTACTTGCATAACTTTTGTCTTGGCATTTTCCCCTATTTCTTTGTGTTTGGCTCTGTCTTGTTCTTTCTTTGAGTCTCTGCTGTGGTCTCTCTGTGTTTATGATCTTTCTCTTTTCTCAATCACGTGTTCTGTCTCTGGTTTATTGTTTCTCTTTCTAGATCTCTGTTTTTGATTCTGTTTTCCTCCCGATCTCTGATGCTCTATCTAGGTTTCTCTCTTGGTTTCTGTTTGAGTCTGAAAGAATGTAAGGGTTGTTAGGAACTCAGAGATCCTCAAATCTAACTTGCAATTCAGCAGGCATCTCCTATATAATCTCATAGAATATTAGAGCCCTAGGCAGCTTTAGAGGTCATTTAGTCCACTTTTGTCAGAGTTGACAAGTGTTAATTAAGCACTTAATATGTGCCAGGGACTGTGCTAATAAAGACAAAACTGAGGCTCCAAGAAGTTGTGACTTACGCAATCAAGGTCACAAGACACATTGCAAATGGCAGCCCTGGTCATCCATCTTCCACTTGAAATCCTCCAGCGAAGGGGAAGGACCCATAGCTCATTCCATTTTTGGGCAGCTTTCGAGCTCAAATCCATCTCTGCAGCATTTCCTATTGCTCCTAGTTCTGCCCTCTGAGGCAAAGCAGAACAGGTCTGCAATTCTCCCAGATGATGGCCTTTTGAATACTTAAAGACAGTTATCATGTTCTTGATGTGTCTTCTCCAGGCTGAATATCACCAGCTCCTTCAACTAATCCCTTTACAACATAGTGTCCCCCTCACCATCCTGATTGTCATCCTTAGGAAGAAATCAGAACTGGACACTGGGCTCCAGATGTCTGACCAGGGCAGAGCACAGAGGGACTATTATTACCCCCTCTGAACACTATGCCTCTCTTAATACAGCTTAAGTAGCTTTAGCTAATTATATGATGAGAGATATGCTATATGATACTATTATAGCATTGACTTATATTAAACAGGAAGTCAATGAAAACCCCTAGATCGTTCCCATCAGCAGTGTTGTCTGGCTATGCTTCTCCCATCCTATACTTATATAGTTGGTCTTTTGAACCCAAGTACAGGAGTGTGCATTTATCCCTATTAATTTTGAAATTTTATTTTAGTAAATTCAATCCATTGCTCTGCCCTATTGAGATCTTATTCCTTTGTTTGATGTTATCTCCCTTTGGGTAGGTATTTCTTTCTTTCTTTCCTCCTCCTCCTCCTCCTCCTCTTCCTCCTTTCCTTCTTCTCCTTCTCCTTCCTTCTTCTTCTTCTTCTTCTTCTTCTTCTTCTTCTTCTTCTTCTTCTTCTTCTTCTTCTCCTTCTTCTCCTTCTCCTTCTTCTCCTTCTCCTCCTTCTCCTCCTCCTTCTCCTTCTCCTTCTCCTTCTCCTTCTCCTTCTCCTTCTCCTTCTCCTTCTCCTTCTCCTTCTCCTCCTTCTCCTTCTCCTCCTTCTCCTCCTCCTTTTCCTTCCCCCTCCTCCTCTTCTCCTTCCCATTCTTCTTCCTCTTCTTCTTCTTCTCCCCACTATTGGACCTCATCAGTCCATTAGTAACCAAGAATTATTGAGTGCATACTTTGTGCCAGGTGCACTGGAGAACCAAAGACTAAAACAAAACAATGCTCACTCAAAAAGGAGGTTATACTCAGTCAAGTGAAACAGTGTGTTCTCATGGGAGAGAATCACTAGTAGTTGAAGGATCAAGGAAAGCTTAGCATAGAAAGTGGCACTTAAATTGAACTTGAAGCAAGCTAGTGATTCTAAGGAGTGGAAGTGAGGAGCGCATACATTGCCAGCTTGGGGGTGGGGGTGGGGGCAGCCTGTGAAAACACATGGAGATGGGAGGAGTAATGTGATATAGACGGAACAGAAAGTAGGCCAGTGTTGCTAGCATGCAGAGCTCATGAAGAGGATATAATATAATATAATATATTAATGTAATAATATGACAATAATACCATATAATATACCATACCATACTGTACCATACTGTACCATATACCATATGATAATACAATGTGTTAATATAATAATGTAACATATAATATAATAATACAATATAATTAATATAACAATACATTAATATGATATATATAAAATATATTAATATAATAATAAAATATATTAATAAACTTGGGAAAGGAGTTAAGTTAAATTGTGAAAGGCTTTCAATGTCCTCCAAAAAGGAGTTTTTCTTTTTTTGGTTAGGCAATGGGGTTAAGTGACTTGCCCAGGATCACATAGCTAGCGAATATTATGTGTCTGAGGCTGGATTTGAACTCAGGTCCTCCTGACTCCAGGGCCTGCACTCTATCCACTGTGCCACCTAGCTGCCCCAAGTTTTTCTTTTAATGTCATGGCAATAGGGAGCTGCTGAAACTTCTCAAATAGAAGAGTGACATAGTCAGACTCATACCTGAGGCTGCTATGTAGAGGATTATTGAGATGGGGGAGAATTATGGGCTGAGAGTCAAACAAACTAGGAGGTAATTGGGATGGGAGAGGGGAGCAGTGATGAAGTCCTGACCCAGGGTGGTAGCCATGTAAGTGGAGAGGATGAATGAGGAATGAAACATAGAGGATGGAGGGGATAGATCCTGGGGAGAATAATTTAAAAAAAACCCTGAAACAAACAAAAATGAAGGATGGGAAACTGATTCTTAGGAAGTAGAGAGTAACTATGGCAACTGAACCTAGAAGCAGGTTGAGTGATGGAGGCCTATTGAGTATTTGAAGGGTTGGACATTACCTGGAGGATGTAACACCTAAGGGTGGTTCTGACAACTGATAGCAGGAGGGATTTAGGTTATATAACGATGATGATGATAGCTAGCATTTATATAGCACCTACTATGTGTCAGGCACTGTGTTAAGCACTTTACAAATTTTATATCATTGGATCCTTACAACAACCCTGGGAGGTAGGTGTTATTATTATCTACATTTTACAGTTGAGAAAACTGAGATTAAATGATTTGCCCAAGGTCACATAGCTAGCATCTAAAACTAGATTTGAATTCAGGTCTTCCTGAGTCCAGGCCTAGCACTCTATCCACTACACTACCTAGCTCTTTCTAGATACTGATGTCTTACTGAAAACTATATAAGACTAGAAGATTGAAAGAGTATGAGAAATGCCCTTCTTTGGAGAATTCTTAAGGGGAGTCTAAAGAAATAACCAAGGATAGCTTACAGTGAGGTGAATCTGGGATCAGTTGAATAACTAGACCTGTGGAGAAATCACAAATAGCCTGATGTTAGTATGGAGGAAAGTCTCTAGTGGTGTGCCCCAGGGATCTGCTTTGGTCCTGTCTTGTTCAACATTTTCTTATCAATTTGGATGAAGCAGATTTGTCAGATTTGATGACATGAAGCTGGGAGCAATATCTAATACATTGGATGATAAATAATCAGTATCCAAAAGATCTCCACAAGCTCTAGAATTATGGTCTGACTGAAATTTAAGAGAGACAAATGAAAAAAAATCAACTTCACAAGTACAGGAGGCAGGGGTCATGGTTGGACAGTTGTTCCTGTGAAAAAGGTCTGGGGTTTTAATGAGCTACAAACTCAGTGTAACACAGGAATCAAACAAACTCATGCTATCTTAGGCTATGTTAAGAGAAGCACAGTTTTCACAATGAAGAAGGTGGTAGTTCTGCTATATACACTCTGTCCTAGTCTGGCCACATTTGGGATATGTCATACAACCTTTTATTAGGAAGGAGATAAGAAAATTAGTGTTGCTACAACAGGCCCGTACTACAAGATCAGTTGAAGGAACTGGGGATGTTTAGCTTTAAGAGGAGAAGAGTTATTCAAGCGCATGAAAAATGGCTTCAAGTATTTGAAGAATGGTCATGTGAAAGGATTAGACTTTTGTTGGCTCCTGAGAATGGACCTAAGAGCAAAGGGCAGATTTTGGTGTGATACAGAGAAACTCAACAATGAGAGCTGTCCAAGTGGGTTCTAGCTTATCAGAGGTCTTTCAGCAGAGTGTGGATAACAGAAGTGATCTTTTCTTAGGCATGGGGTTGCACAAGATGGCCTGGACGGTTGCTTGCAGCTCTGACATCATGTAATTCTGTGAATGAACAATAAGGATGAAGACTATGGTGTGCTGATAGAAATAGAAATAGAAGGTAGAAACTAGAAAGGATGCAGTCTAGCTCCCGGCCAGTGACCACGAGGGACAATTTTTGATTGGCAGACTTTTAAGATTTTGTGTATCTTTGCAACTTTCTACTTGTTATTTTTTTTACTTTTGCTAGTTTATTTGTAGAAAATCTGTTAGAAAATCTAAGAGATGCTTGTGTACTTGCTTCAAGGATAGGAGGGCAGGGTAGACACTAGGAGGTTGGGTTCTCATTTCACAGGGGGCCCAGTAGAAGACAAACTATAGTTGGAACTTTGGAAGACTTAAGAACTCTGATTAATGCGATGATCAGCCATGATTCCAGAGGATGGCTAAGCAAACATACTTTCCACCTCCTTACAGAGTAGGGAAGGACTCAAGATACAAAATGAGACATAATTTTTGGACGTGGTCAATGTGGGAATTTGCTTTGCTTTGACTATATCTATCTATCTATCTATCTATCTATCTATCTATCTATCTATCTATCTATCTGTATGTATGTATGTATGTGTATGTATATGTGTATCTATCTGTCTTTCTTCTTTCCTTCCTTTCTTCCTCCCTCTCTTCCCTCCTTCTTCCATCCCTTCCTCCTTTCCTCCCTTCCTTCCTCCCTCCCTCCCTCCCTCCCTTTTTTGGTTCAGTGGTGGGGTAAAATGGGAGGGAGAAAAAATAAATGCTTGTTATTTTTTAAAAAAATTAAATTTGAAAAAGAAACTATAATTGGAAGAATGGGTAGTAGCATCTAAGGAGGGAAACAGGAAGGCAGGTAGGCTAGTTATAGGATTATAGGATTTAAAGTCAGGATGTACCTTAAGATCATCCAGTCCAATCCCTTCATTTTACAGATGAAGAAACTGAGGCCCAGAGAAATTGTTTGCTTTTGGTCACATTGCTGAACAGAGTTCTCGGTGTTTTTTGGTACCAGACAAAGGAATGAACTAGGAGCTACCTTAAGAGGAGGGTTTGTACCAAAAGAAGTTTCCTAGATTTTTCTCCAAAAGGAGAGGCTTCCATCAGCCTAGGATAGGGAATGGGTCATTCAGTCTTGACACAGGGGAATGATCCCAGGATATATATAACTTTCTCTTTTCTTGGCTCCTCAGGTTACTGCTATTATAAGCTCCAGGATGCCTTCGCCTCTGATAACCTAGGGTGTTTCGCGAAGTGTCGTAAGCCCTGTTTGTAAGTGTCACCTCTTCTTTAGGAACAAAAATCAGTGTAGCCTTTCGGCTGGAAAGTATGAGGTCTCCAGCTGAGCTGCTCCCAGCCAGGAAAGCTGTTAGGGAGGAATTTGGGGCTCTGATGGTCTCTATATGTGGAGTGAAGTGGAAAGATGCTGGAGTAATTTTCCATCCTTTTTCACTCACCCTCCTCCTTTATCCATAGTGTAACCAGTTACGAGTTGTCTGCTGGCTATTCCCGCTGGCCCTCTGCAACATCTCAGGTAAAACGGGAGTGTGAAGGCATGAGAGGAAGTGGGTTAGAGACGTGTGTGCCTGCCTGTATATGTGTGTTAGCATGGGTACCCTGTGCATGTGTGAATGTTTGTATCTCATTGTTTGAGTGGGAATGTATCTAAATGTGTGAAAGTGTGTGCAAATATACATACATATATATATATATATATATATATATATATATATATATATATAGAGAGAGAGAGAGAGAGAGAGAGAGAGAGAGAGAAAGAGAGAGAGAGAGAGAGAGAGTGTATGTGGAGAGAGACAGAGAGAGACTGAGAGAGAGAGGGAGGGAGAGAAAGAGAGAAAATGAAAGTGACCTTGGATGATTCCATTTTTCTCAGGACTGGGTGTTCCAGATGTTGTCAATTCAGAATAATTACACCATCAGCTCCAAAAGGTATTTTGTCACCTGGCCCCAGACCTCAGGCCTCAGGATAAGAGACCTGTCTTGGGGAGGGGAGATCCAAAAACTGGGGAAAGAAAGGGGGTGGGGAGTAAAATCCTTTATAAATCTTAAAACATTTTATGAATGTCAACTATTACTGTTTTTATTCCTCATCTCTGTAATGGGTTGGGGAGGGACCAAGGAGTTGATGATCTCTGAGTCCCTTGCTCCAACATTTTGTAAGAGGATACAGGCTTTGGTATTTGATGGGGGAGGATCTGTGGGCATCTGAAGAGAGTCAGTCACCTAACTTTGTTTTTTTCCTCCTCTTCATGTAGTGGTGTTGCCAAAGTCAATATCTTCTTCAAAGAGCTGAACTATAAAACCAACTCAGAGTCTCCATCTGTTTCGGTGTGTCCCCTCTGGGGTGCTGGACAATGGGATTGGGGGAGGAGCAGCTTGGCAGCTGATTGAAGGGATCTTGGTGGCCTGGAAAGGGATGGGCTTACAGGATAGGGCCTAGGGCAGAAGGGGATAATGACAGGTTGGGGTTGGGGGAGGAGCAGGGGTGGTATGTGGAAAGGGGAGTGTGGAGAGATGAGAGGGCTCTTGAAGGTCACGGGACAAAGGGGATCCATCTAAGGGAGGTTAGGAAAGGGGGATTAGAATTTGCAAAGTGCCATGGCAGCATGAGGTTGGAGATCCTGTAAGGAAAGGGCCAGATATTGGAGGCACTGAGGATCGGTGGACTGACCTTGGGAACACAGGAAAGGAGGAACAGAGGTTAGGATCCTGGGAGAGAGGAGCCAAAGATCTCAGTTTCTTCATATGTAAACTAGCTGATCTCCAGAGTCCCTTCTAGCCCTAAGAGTCTGAGAATGGGTTGGGGACATTGGGGAGGAAGGGCCAAGGTCCAGGGACCCTGGGGGCGGGGGAGAGGATAGGTGTTAGGGACCATGGGGGAGGGGCCATGGAGTTTAGGACATAGCAGAGCTGTGTTTGGAACTGGGGTTGGAGTATATTTTTATAATGGATGAATAAAAATATGAGAGGAGTTGATATGGCTGAGTAGAAAGAGCCTTGGATCTGGAGTCAGAGGACCCGGGTTTGAATTCTGACTTTGCTACTTACAACTAGTGTGACCTTAGGCATGTTACTCCTTTCTAGTCCCCAGTTTACTCAACTATAAAATGAGGGGTTTAGACCAGATGATTTCTAAGTTCCCTTACAATTTCTTTAATCATTTGGTGAAAATTGTCACCTTGGTCAGCTTCCATGATCTTTGCTCTGAGCTCAGGGAAGTACCTTCCTATCATGACTTCCTTCATGTCCCTCCCCTTTGCAGATGGTCACCCTCCTGTCAAACCTGGGCAGTCAGTGGAGCCTGTGGTTTGGCTCTTCAGTGCTTTCTGTGGTGGAGATGGTTGAGCTGATCTTTGACTTCCTGGTGATAACCATCTTCTTGCTGCTCCGAAAGTTCCGAAGCCGCTACTGGGCTCCCAGCCAGACAGCCTAGGCAGTCTGGGTGGAAGCCACGGACTCGTCACTGCCCTCTTGATTCTCCTGTCACTCGAGTGCCTCCTCAGACCAGCTTGGCCCTGGTCCTTCTGCACCAGTCCTGCCACCTGACTATGCTACCCTGAGGTAGCATCTGTGTGTTAAGATAGACATCATAGCCGGAAAAAAAAATGAGTCTTCCTCATTGGTCCTAGACATCCTGGGACCTCAGCTGGTATCCTCCCCTCAATTCCATCTACCAGTTACAATGTTCTCTTCTGTCCATCCTCCATCTCCTTCATTCTTTGAGAAATCTGAGCAAACGGTAGCAATTTTCTCATAACATTCCATTCTCTGGTGTAACTTTTTCTTTGTGTATCTGTGGACCTTGGATGGGTACTGGCTTTCAGGATTAAAGAAATTTTAGAACTTCTCTGAGCAAATTGACTGATTTTGTTTAGGGCTTGAAGAGGGAGAAATCTTCCTTCTGGTCAAAGAAGGGTACATATTCAGGGGCTTCAACTTAACACCAACACTGTTGCTCCAGAGACCCAAAGGGTCAGAGGTGGCCCAGAAGATGAATATACAGAGATTGTGGCTTGGAGCCCTGAGGAGTCATATTCTTCCCTTATTGCATGATATCCAGCAAGATATTAGGAGTTAATGGTGGGAGTGAATCCTGAAAAAGTAGAACTCATTTTTAATAGTCATCCAATTCAAAAAACGTTTGTTATCTCCCTGCTAACTCCTCCTGCACACTCATCTTTACCTAGCTCAGCCTTACCCCTCAATATTTCCTTTCTTCTGTTTTCTCCTTCCACTGTGGATCTCTGGAAACTGACCACCTCCCTCCTCTATTCCCTTCACCATGGATCTCTTCATCTTATTTTATAGATGGGGGAAAGAGGGAAGGCCTATTTAGTTTGTAGTAGAGCCAGGTTTTCTGACTCTAAGTCAAGCATTTTTCCTTCCATCCCATATGATATCCCACCATGGTCTTGTAGTTTGAAATCCCTCTCTCCGTCTTCTGATGATAATCTCCTTTCCGTCTATTTCTCCTTGCCTTGCTCCTCCTAAACCTATTTTTTTTATTAAATAAATTTGTTTTTCTGTTATTCTGAACTTGACATACATGAAAAGAGTATTTCTACACACAAACCCCCAAAAGATTACATATAGCTTATTTTTAAAAGTGTATGATACATATAGCACACTAGTTTCAAAGCTGTGTTTCACTCTGAACTTCCTTCTGTTCTGTGCACTATAGGAAAAATAAATGCTTCATTGATAAGGTATCATTCTTTTTTCCCTTGCTATCGTTAATCATTTCTTCTCAGTTCTATTTGTCACCCTGTACTCCACCCCCCCTCAAAAAAACCCCCTGACCTCTAATAATCAATAAATATAATTAAGCAAAACAAATCCAAGCATTGCTCATGACTGAAAGTATAGATCTCATTCTTCAACTCAGCCCATCACCTCTCTGCCAAGAGGTGAAAAGCAGGTTCCATTTTCTGTCTTTTGGAGTTGTGATTGGTCATAGCATTAAAAAGAGTTCTTAAGTTTCTCAGAGGGTAAATAGAAACTGTTCTCCTGGTTCTCACTTCATTCTTCATCAGAGCATACAAGTTGTTCCAGCCTTTTCTGTATCTATCACTTTAACAATTTCTTTTATTGTCCCATTTAAAAATGTTATTTAATATTTTAATTAATTAATTAATATTTTATCATCCTATTCCACGCACATACCATAGTTTGGTCGTTCCACGATTGATGGACAGCCCCTTAGTTTCTGGTTCTCTTCTATCTCAAAAAGTGTTGCTATGAATCTGGGACATAGGTCTACTAATGGTATTGCTAGGTCAATGATTTTACACAGTTCAGTTGTTTGAGGCATATCATATCAAATTACTTTCCAGAACGGCTTATAACCAATTCACGACTTCACCAGTAATGCAACTGGCAGCTAGGTGGTGCCACTGATAGAGCAATGGGCTTAGAACCAGGAAGACTCATCTTCATGAGTTCAAATCCAACCAGAGACATTTATTAGCTATGTGACCCTGCGTAAATCCCTTGACCCTCTTTGTCTTAGTTCCACATCTACAAAATGAGCTGTAGAAATAAATGAGAAGCCACTCCAGTATCTTTGCCAAGAAAATCCCAAAATGGGGTCACAAAGAACTGAATATGTCTGAAACAACTCAATAACAAAATCTCCCACATTTCTCCCAACAGTCTCGTTTTCCTCTTTTGTCATATTTCATCAATGCTTTGGATATGAAGCAAAACCTCAGAGTTGTTTTAATTCATTTTTATCTAATTGTTAGAGATTTGGAGCATTTTAAAAATATGGCTGTTGTAGCTTTTTTTTTTCTTTTGAGAACTCCCTATTCACTGTCCTTTGATTATTTATGTTTGGAGATGGCTTTTGTTTTTATATATTTGGATCAGTTCTCCATGCATATTGGATAGAAGACCTTTGCCAAAGAAGCTTGTTCTAGATCTTCCCCCCCCATAACTGTTTCTCTTTTCATTTTAACTGTATTGTTTTTGTGCAAAAGATTTTCGATTTTATGTAATCAAAAGTATCCATCCCATCATCTATGATCCTTTCAGTCCTCTGGTAAAGAACTCTTCTAGCCATAGTTACAACTACAGTTATAACTTCTTTCTTTTTTTAAAAATTTAATTTAATTTTTAATTTTTTTTTATCAATTTAGTTTTAGTTATTAACAATCACTTCCATACCCTTTTGAGTTTCAAATTTTTCTCCCCCTCCTTCCCCAAGATATAACTTCTTTCTTTGCTTCTGTGATGTGACTTTTTATATTTAGGTCTTGTATCCACTTGGAACTTACTGTGATATATGGCGTGAAATATTGTTCTAAACCAAACTTCCTTTAGACTGCTTTCCAGTTTTGTTTGTTTGTTTCTTCTTAGCATTTTCTTTTTGTCAAATAGCAGGTTTTCCTCTAGTATTTAGGACCTTTAGGTTTATTGAACCAAAACCTACTGTTTTTTTTCTTTTGAGTTTTGTGTTTCCCACCCTGTGACCTAAACTGTCTCACTGATCAACTTTTCTGTTTTTGAAATAGCCGCAAATAGTTTGATTGCTGCTCTACAGTATAGTTTAAGATCTGATACTACTAGATCCCTCCTTCCTTCCCACTTTTGTTTTTTCAGGACTACTACTGAGATTTTTAATCTTTTGTTCCTCCAAAAGAATTTTGTTATTATTATTATTAACTCTGTAAAGTAGTTTGAACCGTTCATGAGGTGACTCACTTTCTGAAACTGCTTCTTCCTTCAGGGGCTATCTCTCTGCTTCCATATTTCTATGGGTTTTTTTTTTTATCATTGAGTTCTTAGAATATCTCCCTTCTCTACTCTGGGGGCATTGGTTCCTACTGGTTCAATGATACGGTGGCATGGTTGATGTGGGTGGGGGGATGAGCGTAACACTCTAGGCTCAGCCCCTTCCCTTCTTTGCTATTGGTGTACGCATTTATCCTTTCAAGGTACTCTCAAGGCTGGAGTCCCCTGGTTAACTGGTCTGATGGTTAACTGTTTCTGCTGAAATTCATCTGGCTATTTAAAGCACTGGCAGCTAGGTAGAGCAGTGGATAGAATGTGGAGTCAGGAAGAACTGAGTTCAAATTTGGCCTCAGACACTTCCTCGCTGTGTGACCCTGAGCGTCAGTTCCTTATCTGTAAAATGAGCTGGAGAAGGAAATGGCAAACCACTCTGGTGTTCTTGTCAAGAAAACCTCAAATGTGGTCACAAAGAGTATGACATGATTGAAAAATGACAAACAACATTTAAAACACCCAGAAGTATGGTTAGATTGTTTGGTTGGCCAATCAGTCAGCCAATCTCTTTTTGACCCAGCTGAAGAAGTTCACATCTGTCTCTCTCTCTTTTTTTAAAATTATTAATTAATTTATTTTTAGTTTTCAATATTCACTTCCACAAGATTTTGAGTTCCAAATTTTCTCTCCATCTCTTCCCTCTCCCCACCCCAAGATGGCATGCATTCTGAATACCCCTTCCCCTAATCTGTCCTCCTTTCTATCTCTCCCCCCCCTTCTCTTATCCCCTTCCCCTTCAATTTTCCTGTAGGGCAGGATAGATTTCTATACACTATTTCCTATATATCTTACTTCCCAGTTGCATGTGAAAACAATTTTTTTTAACATTTGTTTTTAAAACTTTGGGTTCCAAATTTTCTCCCTTCCTCCCTCCACACCCACCCTCATTGAGAAGGCAAGCAACTCAATACAGGTTATACATGTGTAGCCATGCAAAACACTTCCATAGTAGTTATGTTGTGAAAAGCTAAATATATTTCCCTTAATCCTATCCCACCTCCCATTTATTCTATTCTCTCTTTTGACCCTGTCCCTCCTTAGAAGTGTTTGCTTCTGATTACCCACTCTCCCAATCTGCCCTCCCCTCTATCATCCCCCTGCTCTCTTGTCCCCTTTCCCCCCCTATTTTCCAGTAAGGTAAAATAGATTTCCATACTCAATTGAGTGGAAGTTCACATCTCTTTAAAGAGATTACAAGGCATTAACTATGGTGTTAATGCATTAAATGACTGATCTTGGCTTACACTGATTACACTGCATTAATTGAGGTGGAGAAGGGGTGTGGAATGCTTCCCTCACACTGAGGAAATTGAGACCATGCACTCACTCACTTCCTCTACTGACATCTCAAAATCCTTCTATGCCATCTCCTTTGTTTCAGTCTGTGAGAAAGAGGTATCCCTTATCCTTGCCAACCCCTATACCTGTCCCCTTGACCCTTCTAGGAGTTTGCCCTGTTGTTGAACATTCTCTCCTCACCTTCAAGTCTCTTCCTATTTACTGTCTCTTCCGTGGTGCCTGCAAATAACCCCTAGCCTCCCTATTCTTAAAAATTAGCTTTCATTTGACCCTGTCATCCCCTCAAAATGCCACCTGATATTTCTCCTACATCACTGCCAACCTGCTAGAGAATGGTTTACTTTTACTACTATAATTAACCACCCACTCATTTCTTAA